ATAACAAACCAATCAAAAAATAATAAATAAATAAAGACAATGATACTTTCTTCACTAACGTTATCACATTTTATTTAGTGAAATTAAATCAATATATTATTACTTGACATTGTTAAATAGATATATATATATCCAAATATTTTTAAATCATTTGAAATGAAGTATAATGAGTTTTGTTTCTTTTCAAAACCCAACCTGCAGTCAGGAAGGCATGTCAGCTTTCCACAGTACTCTAATTTTGTAAACCTGAATAGAGATTTGAACTACTTGTGATATCCGGAATCTGAAGTGGCCACCGGTGTGACCGAATTCGCACTAGTTTTCAGACTATGAGGGAGTTTTGGCTGCACTTTGTAGGGCAGAGCAATATCTGGTTCTTAAGTTCTATAAAGCCATTTTTCCCGAGGTTTTCGCGAGTTCTATCAATAGAGATGTTCGAAGAAGGCTCAATGAAGCTTACTTGCTATTTTAATGTTGCTAAGTGCGGGTACCTGCCTGAACATGAACGCTTCTACTATTTTGTTCAAGAGGAATAATCTGGCCAACCTCCTAAATTCCGCATCTGCGTAGCCGAAAAACTATTAGAAAAAACCTTTTTGGCAGTAAAGTGCATTTATTTTTTATTCGTTAACAGATCGAGTCCTTTATCGGAGTACTTTTTTTTTTCGTTCTTACTTGCAAAACAGAAACTGTAACACCCCTCTGTAGCCCCCCATTTCCCCCAAATTCGGTCTCATCACTCGCAGACTGGGCGTTAAAATAATAAAGGTTATGTTAAAGAATGTAAAACCTGGGCGTTAAAAGAATAAAGGTTATGTTAAAGAATGTAAAACCTGGGTGTTAAAAGAATAAAGGTTATGTTAAAGAATGTAAAACCTGGGCGTTAAAAGAATAAAGGTTATGTTAAAGAATGTAAAACCTGGGTGTTAAAACAATAAAGGTTATGTTAAAGAATGTAAAACCAGGGTGTTAAAACAATAAAGGTTATGTTAAAGATGTAAAACCTGGGTGTTAAAACAATAAAGGTTATGTTAAAGCATGTAAAACCTGGGTGTTAAAACAAT